ACCACAACTTCTTACAATGTATTACCTTTAAAGGGAACTGATATTGTATGGCCACTCTCCCTCCGGGGTCAGAAAGGCAGGATAGAAATACAGTAAATCAATCAATCAATAAAACCAAAACTTGGGCCGTACATGAATTGCCCCCCTTAAAAAAAATAACAATTGCCAAATGGAAGTTGCAATGTATGTATTTTCTTTTAATGTCGGCAATATTTTTGACCAATATAGAAATATCAATATCTATATATCTATATTTGTGGCGATATGTACATTCCATTATTATTATATTAATATTTTTGTGTCCAAGTGTAACATGCATTTTCTTTTCATTTTCCCAAAGGTCTCTTGCTATTTGGTTTTTTTATTCAGGCACATAAAATGGGATTTTTAAAAAAAAAAAATTACAATATGTAAATTTGGTATGTGAATATGTAAATTTGGAAATTATTACTTCCAAATGTGGAAGGCATTTTTATTTATTGCATGACTTATTGTGGGCTAAATATAACTTCTTTTTTCAAAAATGAAAAAAAAATATTTACCAGGGCAATTTTCACTTTTAAAAATTTTATTTGATATTATTTATTTTTTGCTCAATGTAAGTAACCTTCATTTTATTTTATTTTTGCTCAATGTAAATTTAATGTGGTTTTTTTTTTTTTTGGTAATTTTGCAAAATGCACATTGGAGTTTTTTTCTTGCAAAATTGCCTTTTTGCATTTTCTAATTTTCCCTTCTGCAATTTCTATTTTTTCTTTTTCTTTTTTGTTTCTTTTTCTTTTGTTTATTATTATCATTATTAATATTATTATTATTATTATCTGCAATTGGTCATTTTATGATTGATTGTTACTATGATTGCAAACTGGGATATTCAATCTATGAGGATGAGAATATACGGGCCATGTTTCCCAGGGAAGGATCCAAGCACCAGAGTCAAACACTAATTATTATTATTATTATTATTATTATTATTATTATTATTATTATTATTACTATTATTACTACTATTATGACATGCAATGGGGTTTTATAAAAGATATAATCCTCTATCTATCTATCTATCTATCTATCTATCTATCTATCTATCTATCTGTCGCTTTGTTAATTTCCTTCCTTCTTTCTTTCCTAACTATCTTTTCCTTCCTACCTACCTATCTATTCTATCATTCTTTCTTCCTCCCCCCTCCTTCCTTCTTTCCTTCCTA